GTCTTAAACCTCAGTCTCGAACTAAAGTTTATTCACCCGATAACTTAGTCTGAACTCACTCTCGCTCAACTAAGCGATAGCTCCCTTAACACAAACCTGCGGACAACATACAGCGCCTGACCGAAGTGCAAGTCACGCTGAGTTGTTTGATCTTGTTTGTGAAATCGGTCGCTAACACACACACGCCGAGGCGGCAAGTGTGGCTTGATGATCTGGTTACCAACGAGTGCCTTTTGTCGCATCTCCCGGTCCTCCTCCTCCCATCTGCAAAGTTTAGCTTGTATAGTGCTCCAGTCATGGGTGTACCATATCCGGCGGAGAAGGCCTTATGCCGTGCCAAAGTCGTAGTTATTCGCAATGCATTCCGCAAGAAGGGAGAAGAGGGATGGAGTGTCCAAGGTGTGTGATGTTCCTAGTATGCTATTGAGTAGATCTAAGAGACACCAAACACCGAGGGTAGCGCAGAGAGTATCAGCAAGGTGGGATGATATCACGGGCTTTGTACCGGTGTACACCCGTTGCTTCGGAACAATGATCGACGATTCTGCCTGGCCTGTCTCGGCGAAGGCAGAGATCGTGACTTCGCGAAGAGAGATTTCCTGGAAGTGTTATCAGTTTCCCCTCTGCTTGTTTGCCGACTGACTTACCTCTGGAGGCCATCGTTCCTTGAGCATCACACCGCCAAAAAGCGATTGCTATAAGACCTTGGACGGCGCTAATGTCATCGTACTGGTTACTCGAAATGAGAGGTATCAATGATACATACTAGTTCCTATTTTCCAAGGTCAGGACGAGTATACAGTTAAGAGAGTGCTAAACGTCGTGTAATATGATGATGATGATGATGAAAAGCTGTTACTTCTAAGGAGGCAGTGTCGCAGGTCACAGCTTAAATTCAACTCCGGACTGATGCGAGGTCTTCGTGTGAACAGGATAGCAACATCTCGCGCTCATAAAGGCTGTACCACAAGGGACCGTTTGTTTTGGGAATGTTGGCTTGGAGATTGGAAACAAGTTTATTAAGGCAAGGATTGGTGCAATGAGGTCAAAAGCATGAATTTCGTCAAGGATGGCACGTATAGGTTTAATCATACCATAAGCGCTACTTCGAATAGGCGCGCTCTTTATGCCCATTGTACGAATGGGCAAGCGCCCAAGGATCCTGCTGAGCACGACCGGACAGACGCCGCAGAGGTATACTCTATCCATTCTCCGACCTATCTGCTCGGACCGTGGTCGTCCAGTTAGGCAACAACAAGACAGAAATACGAATTGAAGAACACGAACAAGTCAACATCCGCAGTTTAGCCAACACATTAGTACGCCGGACTAGCCATCTTGATGAATTCTGGAAGTTTCGAGCTGTTGAGTCGAGGAGAATGAAACGAACTGAGCGAGAGGATATGCCCGAAAGAATCCGTGATGCTTCCTTGAATAGGTCTGCTCAGATCTGAGAATGAAGCGAATGTACATATGTGGTCTAGTAAATATGAATAAGTTATAAGGAGGCGCAGATAAGACTCACAACTTCAACGTTCACGACTTTGAAGGGAGAGAATTCGGCTGGAGGAAGGGAGGTAAATTTGGTGACCGGATGTATCATTATTGAAGGAATCGACGGGCATCCAGTGAGGGAGTCGAGGTTGATATGGCACGGAGTCAAGTTAGGACTTGCTTTCCCCGTCATTTATTTGCACTTCTGTCGTCTATAAGTATTCCGCGCCAAGGAATAGGGATAGTTTGTTTGTCCTGGATTTCCGCTCGCAAGCTCAAGCCAAGGCTGAGCGCTAGCGCTGAGATTCGAGAGATCCTGCTCCGTACAACGCGCTAGTATTGGCATTGATATCTTTCTAGCCCTGTTCCCGTAAGAGTGTGGTTCTTACTGTACGACACCGTTGTTCGAGTTCACGTAGGTCGCACGCATCTGGCTCTGTTTGCTTTCGTAGTGCCGATGCAAGGTAGGCCATCGACGCGTAACGAGAAAGGGAAGAAGAGAATAGAGGCCAGGAAGAAATGGGAAGATGCAGCACGCTGCACGGGACGAAGATGTGTTGAAAGCTGTGCGAGTCTGCTTGGTTTTGGTGACGTCATGCTCCTTGGCCCCTTTCGTTCCAGCTTGCCAGGACTGTCAAACACCCGAGACTAATGCCAATTTCCCCGTGACAGACGCAGTGGAGAAAACAGACGTCGATGTTGGTGGAAGATTGGACTCTGAAAACGGCGCCTGTGCTCATAGTGCAAGTCCCTTCTGTTTGTGTCTTCTACGACATTCTCCCTCTCACGGGTTTAAATTAAGCTTCAGGCGCTATCAATGCGGAGCTTCCGTATTTGTGAAAAGGGCGCGGGTCGTGGCGGTGAGGGAATCGCGTGCATATGGAGTGGATTCTAGAGACACGTCTTCCTTCGCGTCCCCGATCAACTGCTATCACCCATCACTGGATCCCGCGACATAAATGATCTCACCATTACGATCTTTTGCCAGACCAACCAAAAACCACTGGATGGCACACCTACTTCCTTGACTCGTCGCATCGATCCACGAGTTGCGAACTGCCCAAGAACAAAAAACATTGCAACAGACCGCCAATAGGAGATAGGTGAAAACTCTCGAATATTACCAACTCTGGCGTCGAGGACGACGCAGCGTTGGATCTCGATATAGAACGGAAGTACGAGGTCTGCTGAGCGTTGCTGTGGTTTTCGACGAAGAGGGACAATAGGAAGAGGATAGAGACTCGGAAGAGTTTGAATTTCTAAGGAACGAGTTGGACGATAACGACGAAGAAGACGGGGACTGCGAGACTGAAACTGAGGGCAGTTCGCGAAGAGGCCCTCAGGCCTCATCATTAGTGGCCAATCTTCAAAATCCAAGGTCGACGATGCCGTCTCCATGACGGTTCCCAAACCCAATCACTGCCACTGCCGACACAAGCCTCCTCTATACACACCATCCTTGGCTATAGGTCAAACCTTCGTGGCTGCAAAAACCCGCTCGTGGTGCTCTTCGACTACCAGAGCTTTCATATCACGTCGAAATTCCCCCAAAACCGCGACATGATTGTCTACCAAATTTACATAGATTGACGCCGATGCCTACGTCAACTCGTTGAAGTTGCTTTGCACGACAAGGGCATGGGCTGGGATCCTCAGACGAAGGCTCGCTCATCCACCATTTCCAAGCTTCACGTTCAGAGCGAGCTTTACCTTATTACGTTTGGTACGGATGTGTCCATTCTTCTTTATGCGTGCCTACCGGCACTGAAAAGGTATGCATCTTGATATGCATTCCAGTTTCGTCACTGACTATCCCTTCATCCTTAGATCCAATTTTGAACGAGCTATCCACATATCGTAATGAGACTACGGGGACTTTCCACCTTGATGCTTTCAAAATCGTCTGCGTTACTTCCATGAAAACATTGGTCCAAGGAATGGTTGCGCTAAGCTCATAGTATCTGCTATCAGCGAACTCACAGGTGATTCTCATGACGAGGCAATAGATTGTCGAACATAACCATACCTTCTTTGTCCCCACTTTCGTCGTCCGAAATCTCCTTACGATCCCCGCCGCATTAGAACCTGTATCAAGGACAAAAGCCGAGATCTTGTGCTCGTTCACGAGGCACAGTTTTCTGGGAAGAGATCGCAAGACGCTTGTACTAGCAACAAAGCTCGCTGTAGACCTCTGCACTGGTCGGTGTTGTTGGAATGGGCGAAGGATTCGCCGGCGTCTTTGTTGAAGATGACTGTAAAGAATACTCGATACTCGAGGCGGTGTCGGTGAGCAGAGCCCGCCAGGTCAGAAGGTTCTGGAGCTCACAGAACCCTGGTCATACTTCCAGAACTCGTAGATGAATCGAAAAAACTTCCATTATCACGCTTCGTCCCGACCTTAAGAGCAGTTCATCGGAACTAGACGAACATGCGATACCAAGTGACGAACGGAGTTCACTATGCGAAAGCCCTTAGTCAGGTTTCACACACTTGCGGAAAGAGAAAGCAAAAACGGCGAAGCTCTGAGGGAGTCTCCTCCGGTACCAGAGCCTGTTCGGAAAGGTGAGCATCCATACGTTCATACCGGAGCTTTCTTTCAGGAAAATGGAGAACCAGGTCACTCTTACGCAACAGGTGGAGAAGGAGACGACTACTCGGTTCCTCAAAGCTGATAGTGCTATGTCGAAGCTGGTGAGGCTATATAGGAGATTCTGACAGAAGAAGCCAAAGATGTCGAGGATTCCAACCTTCGTGATCTCCATCCTGGCGGCCTTATGGTGTCGGTACCCATCACGCCGGTATGTCATGCTATGGAAGATCGTTCGTTCCCTGGTGGAGTTGTTTGCCTCGGACGGATCTGTTCAGGTCCTCGTGTGTACTGCGACGCGTCATTCTGCTAGCACATACAGCCGACGCAGATCTATAACTGGACAAGGGTCGATCTATTTTCGCAGGATACGCTCCGCACGTTTGGATGTGCGGGTCGACCGCAGTATGATACACACGACGAAGCATAACCATTACCTCCGAGCTCCTAAGCAAGCTGAACCAACACCTATCTATCGTGTCTCTATATTCAAGAAAGCCGACAATTTCAACACAGAAATTGTATTGAGCAGAATCCGAGGTATTGATGAAGTCCGGGTATGTCTATTTGTAAGCTCCTCTATCTCAAACGTATCTTTTGTTGACTTATCATTTTTCAATTGCGTGCCAATGCGCCAGGTCTGTACATATAACGTTGTGATTATCGAGATGACGATGTCGAGGCCAGCATACTCGGTCATCGCTCGAATATACACCCGCAAAACCTCCCATCATCTTTGTTCCCTCACGGAAAATCCCGACATGGACTTCTACCGCAGGATGACGCAGAATCCGAACTACTGTAACCTGCATGATGTCTCTACAATAGTTTTGCATGTACAAGTAGCTCCATACTGAAATTAATGGAGTATTTCTTCAAAACATCTCGTCCTTAAAGAGCGACTCTACACCAAACCTATTCTGGGTGATTATAAAAGGTATAGGAAACTGCACACGCCTATATTCCCAACGGTGGAAGGGACTAGTGAGACACCGCAACACTAGACCTGAGAGATGTTAGACTAATCAGATAGAACGGGGTTTCTAACCACGTACCGCGACGCCTATTGGAAGCCATCCACAATCGCTTATTGATTTTCCTTGGATCGTAGTCTTCGAGATTTCTCTCAGCTATAAACGTGGTTTGACGGAGGTGTCGGACACCATCAGTAACGAACATCTCATACGGTCCCGGGGACGCTACGAAGATTCCAAAGAAGAACCCAGGGATACCGACACCGCGCAAGTCGCACAACGCGTCAGACCAGGTCGATTCGTGTATGACCACTGAGAATGAAGGATCTGGGTCCGTCATGGCAATGTATACGTCCATCTGTGTCTTCCAGCGTGGACAGTCAGGGGAGAAGGCAGTAGACAGGAATCGGTCATAACGTGCTTGAATAGGTATACCACGGAGAAACTGTAAAGGTGAATACGGCCCAACGCCGATCCAAATGAGCTGGAAAGATATGTATGGAATATGCGGAAACAGTGCATCGAAACCACGAATGTTCGGTAGCCCAAAGAGATAACGATACGCTCTTTTCACCGCTCCTTCCCTTCCATCTTCTCGGAGGTCGATGAAGCAGGTAATGGTGCGGGTAAGCCGGGGGATGAAGTTGTGGTAGATAATGGATTTTTTGCGGTGTGCTATGTCACATAGGTAGTCCAGAAATGCGAGGTTGGTGATGTACATATCCTGAGAAGCGATAGGGGCATAGATGGCCTTCCACAGTCGGTTAATCCGGGGGCTAGTCATGAACGACTTTCGGATGTAAGATGGCATAGCAGAGGACCAGACTTGAGATACGATTATCTCCACAAGCTCTGGAGGAAGTGTGGTCATGGTGAAAGAGCATGATGAGAGTCTGAACCCGTTTTATAAGGAAGTCTGAGACTGTCTATCCCATCCAGAAATAATGAGACTCCTTCCATCAAGTGGGCGTGGTGGTGGTGGTGGTGGTAGTGTCAGGTTCCTGTCTGATTGTAAGCATGGCCTAAGTATCAAGGAACAGTTAGCGACGAGACTGGGATGCAACTCAATAAGCATACTTTTCCAGCGCTAGTAGGTTCGCAATGGAGGATGGGCTTATCGGTACCCAATGCGATGAGGTAGAGTTTTCTCTGAATGCGGGAATGGTGGATGAGCGGTCCTTCGTATGACCAAGCCCAGCTCATGCCCTTTTCATATACAGTAACTCCGACGTCAACGCGTCGCTTCGCATGAGCTTGGTGCTAGTGACGTCGTGGTTTTTAAGGAATTTCATCGTGATATGAAAGTTCTGTTCCACGAGCTAGTTCACGCAGTCACGATATCTCGACTGCTTGCCTGTCAAGAGATTAAGAGTCTGCCTAGGGGAGACTACAGTCACGAAGGTTGGACTCGGAGCCATAGATAGGGAGCAGAGGGAAACGGTCTGGGAACATCCATCTCTGCACTTAGAGACGGCAATAGAGTGTGAGGAGACGACATCCTTGTCGGCCTTGGACTTCGCGAATTTCGAGTAACGAGGGCCTCTGTGCCAACTTCGCCGCCCCTCTACGTCGTCCGCGTCATCTCTGATCTTCGACCTTCTCCTCTTGTTCCTCTCCATTGAAAACTACGGCAACGCCAACCTATCGCAACCTTCCGCTCCATACCACTGTCAGGATCCAACATTGCTCCGTCCTTGACGCCATAGTCGGTAGTCTTATTTGACCGACAGACTGGCGAGTTGTTTGTGGAGTACAGGTCCGGCCTACCACATTCTCTTTTGTCCCGAGAACTATACAAGGACAACACGATTCGTAGATCAATGCAACCAGCTAATGAGGTGCACTAGTCGGTCCTTGATTTCTGCGAGAGAGTGCGGGTAGGAACCAGAGAGGAAATGGTGCTATTGCTGTGCTGAGAAAGGGCCGAGTGTAACTTGTTCGAAGGTGGCGCCTGCATGTGTGCGTTGACTACTCTGTGCTCTGAATATCCAATACTCGGAATATTCCTTGAGGACAATCTGAGCGTGGTTGATACGGCGAAGATGACAAGAGATGGTAATGGTGAACTCACTTGTGTCGTGGGAGCCTGTGGAAGGGGACTCGGAGTGCTCGGTTTGAGTGAGGGCGGGAAGGGGGATGGACGCGTCAGACGTCGGAACTTGGTTCTGAGAGTCCTCGAGAGACAAAGGGCAGACTTGTGGATGTCCAATCGACGCGAAGTAAGAGAAGGGAGGAAAACTAACGCGTCAGACTGGAGGAATGAGACTAGGCCGAGTAAGACTCACGTCAGCAGCGTCCTCAGATGTTCTCACACAAGTGCCTGCCGCGTGCCGAGGCGAGTACGACCTTGCTGAATCTTGTCCTTGAACCCTATTGCTGTCTCTTTCGAGTCGACCTTTTCATTGGCAATGCTCCCGACTCAAAACATGTAAGGAAACACTGAAAGCGACGATTCCTCGTCGGGTTGATCTACGTAAGTCATACCAATATGTTACCAAGTGTTTGCGTGGCACGTCTGCTTCTTTGAACACCGATATACCAGTCGTATACCTCGCAGATCATTTGTACATTGAAAAATCCACACTGCATAGTGCCAAACCATCTCTAATAAGAGTCCCCGAACTCAGACCCATAATCTATTCCAAAATTCCGACCGGTGTCACGACGCCGTGCGCTCGTTCGCCAGATGTCGATACGTCATGTCCGCGCAAAAGTCGTCGTCCAGGGAGAGGCTGGGGTGCGAGGTGTACAATAACAGCTAGATGCAAAGGATCTCGATCAGTAACGAAGACAGTCGACATCGTGCGACGTGCGTACTATGTCCAGTTTACCCTAGCCCTATACTCCTTGTATCCCCAACAATACCCCGACGCCATGCTCTCGCTTGCCGGACGTCGATACATGGCGTCGAGGTAAAACCAGTCCCTCCTAAGACTACCTGCCGTCCCTACCCTATGCGAAGTTTCGCCGTGGGTGTGTCCACCGGTTTTGAATACATCGTCTAGGCGCAGACGTCTTGCTTGCCGGAAGACGATCCATTGTCTCCAGCCAAAACTCGGACACCTACACACCAGGATGGGGTGGGGTCATATTTCGCGCAGTCTCCAGGCATACTCACTCCCTCCTCGCACCAGACAGGAGGCAACGTCCTCTTCTACTTTCCAACAACGCACGTTACTAGCCATTGAAAGACCAGCGCAGCGGGAACAGGTAGACGTCGTTGAGTGGTAGGGGATGACGCAATATCGGAAGGGAATGTCCGACTGAAGGAGGGTCGTGGGGATGGGTCGTTGGGTCGGGGTTGATGTCGATTTGTCATGGTGTGGTGGATACGTGGCAAGGGGGAGGGGGAGGAGAGAATAGCAGAATCTAGTGAACGGATAAGGATCAATGGCGTAGAGCACTAACAGATGTACTCACCAGTATCATATTGGACTGCATGCATCATGCGCAAACCTGAATATAATATATCGATGGCGGCTGAAAGCTTCATCGGGACCATGAACAGTAGATGGGCGAGCTCATTCCCATATAGGCTTACGAGATAGGTGGTCCAGGCGATCACACCTAGCTCCGCGGTCCTGGTCATCCTTGGCTATTCCCTCTGCCAGAAAAGCATTCAGTTTCCACTCTGCCTCGCCTTTTCCTGTATTTTCCCCCTGGACGAGCTCCTTTAGTACCTCGACTATCACCTTGTGGTCCTTTTACAAGCTTGTACCGATCCTCGTCTTGCGGGCTGATATACGTGATAATGATCTTGTTGGGTACAATGTTCTCGTGTATTGAGCATGGGATGCCAAAGGGAGACTTTCCCTCTGCAAGTGTCCAGAGACGAAGTTAGAAAGTGTGCTTCTTGTTGGTGGCAAGAAGGACAGATGCAGTGTTAATTGTGCTAGGACAGCACAGCGAGTAGTACTAGTCCTCGTAAGTGGAACAGACTATAAAGTGCGACGCATGAGCATCAGCGAAGGGAAAATACGGAGAAGGTATTAGTCACTCACGATCCAATTCTTAAGCAATTCCCCAGATGTTCAGGTTCAAACGTTCAATATTCAATGTGCGAGGCGACTTTTTGAAGCTAGTGCTGCAGGTGCGATAGAGTCGAGATGGTAAACGGCTGAGTACTGAGTACTGAGTCTTGACATGCTGCACGGCTACGTTGTATTTGTTTGGTTTTGGCAGATGCGAGAGTAGGAAGAGGACTGCTGGATTGAGCACAGCCACCTACAGTTATTTACCGGTCAATGAAACAGCAAAATTGAATATTCGCTGTAAGTTCCAATTGGTTTGGAATTATGGCTATATTTGAATGTAGAAATATGTAATGCTATGCAACAGCAAGATACAGTAAAGAAAGGATGCTCGAAGGTGCAGGTACAAGTCCGTTTTCGCAGCATTATTGTGGCGTGGGTATTCTGGACCATTTTGAGTCATTGAAACGGTCCGGCCCGTGTACCCAGGCATCATTGGTCAGCTACTCGGAGTCGCTCTGATCGCTATCAGATCCCCCTTCTCCGTCGTCGTTGTCATCCTCCACTGCCGTAGCTGCTGGCTTGGGTATAGGACCAGCTAGTGGGCCCCTCACAGGTCTCTTTAATGTGAACTTTTCCCCCCTGGACCTTGCCTCTGCCTTCTGCTCCTGCCATCTCTTCAATGCTGTCTGGTAAAGTGCTGTTTTCGTCTTGTTTGCTTGCTTTCTCTTTTCATCCTGCTTTTTCCAGACCTCTAGAGCTTCAGATCTAGCTTCCCTAGCAGCTTTACGAGCTCGCTTCTCTTGCTCTGCCACCCTCTGCCTCTCTTCATGGTCGCAAACAAGCTCATAGAACATGTCACTTGACAACAACTGTGGCAGTCCATCCCCCACTAGCGTTCCAGATTTCTTCGCCTGTTGCTTCTTCTTATCGTAATTTGCCAGATGGGTCCTCAGCACTTTGCAGTACATCTCATTTAGCACGTTAGCTGCCTGCATGGACACCAGGCGCTGTCGCAATGCCTCTGCTTCAGCCTGGACCTCTCGTAGTGAAGCCAGGAGCTCTAGCTCTGTCGCGGTTTGTGGATGAACACCATCAAGACAGTGTGACGTTGCGATAAGAGAACGAGCTCGGAGATCGAGTGGCGAGTTTGGGGGTGGAATGTCATTGGAGATGAGGTACGCAAGTGACGTTTCGTTTAGCTCTTTCAATGTCTCATCGAAGGAAGCCGGCAGAGATTCTTGAGTTGTATCATGATCGATGGCACCAGTGGGTTCTTCAGCCTCTTCAACGCTTTCCTTGATGCTTAATTTTTGCAGCAGCTTCGCAACAGTGCGTACCGGTGTGGCAGGTGGAACTGGGAGGTGACTTTCGCAAGACGTGGTTCGGCTCGGAGCAAAGGACTCTTCAGGAAGAATGTTCGGGTTGAATGGACATACGCCTGTCTTTCTGAATGCCGCCTTGATATTCACGGGTGTGAGAGCACGGAGGTGAGCTTTTCCGTAAACTGTCAGAAAGTTCCTCTTATCAACCTTCTCCCCTCTCTCCCTTTCCCAGGTATCCCTTTCGTCACTCCAGTATAGCTTCAGTGGACTGAATATGACCACGTCGAGCCCTTGGTATACGTGCGTCGTGTGAGATGGGTAGCAAAGGACACGGATATTGTGAGTGCGTGCATATTGCAGAAACCCCCTGGTGTAATGACTATTGTGTCCATCAACTAGTAAGAGGCGGCGACGGCCATTTGCTTTCCTCGACGTTTGGCGATCAAAATCCTTGATCCATTCGACGCCAATTTCTCCATCGGTCCAGCCTTTTTTAGAGTAGCCCAGACTATCAATGCTATTAATATATGTAGGAGGAACATGTATTCATTTGTACTCACGATGCGTTGGCGGGATTGTCCTGCTGCCATTTGACTTGGTATGCCTGTCCCTTGAAGATTACAGCTGGTGCGGTCGAAGTGCCATCAGCACAAATAGTTACGAGAACGGTGGTGTTCTCGCGACTACCATCACGCTGCTGATATTGACGTCCGCCTTTCTGTCCAC